GATATTAGTAAAATCAGAGTGTGATTCATTGTCAGTACTTTATACAAACAAATTACTGAGCACTTACATCCAGGAACATAAACTCATCATTACAACACTGGTAACGGCACTCAATTTACTCCACGTCGCTTAAACATAATTATTGACATACGAACATCTCTAGCACATGCGCACACTAGTGCCTGAATCAGCTGTTTGGTACTGATGTATTCAAAGCAAAGTAAACAATATCAAAAGCTTGTTCAATGTGTAAAATAAGCCCATTGTGATACTATGTATACATTATATTAGATATGCAACTACATTTATTACAGTTACTGTTAGCACCACCAGATTCAACTAACAGCACCTATTCAAGTTGCGGCATTATAAAATATGGAGTTCTTCATGATTCAGAACTTGTTCCTCTGTTTTTCCTCATTTATAACAATGATCTACCTACAACCATTAACTCTAAGTCTGAACCCATACTTTTTGCGGATGATAAGAAATTATTTCACATGTAAGCAACAGCAGTGAAGCTTTCTTGTGTAATTAATTTTTGCGGTAATACTGTAGTTGACTGTATATTACTGTCATAACTATGGAATGTAAATCTATTCTTTCCTATTCATGAAAACTTTTAATAACCTGTACTTGTCATTACGTGTTACATATATTAATCTGTGAACTGGTTATTTATGTCTGTGAGTTCTATGCTATTATCTGATTTTTTGTTGCTTGAGTTCTCGTTTGAATAACTGGTTCATATCTCAAAAAGTATGGAGGCTTGAGAATAAGAAGTGAAGTGTCAAGAGCTATTTTCGCAGTGCATTTTGAAACTGAATCATGTGCATGGTCGTAATAGAAATTCATGTCGTCAGGTATTATAACAGTATATTGATAAAAAACTTTAGATTCAAACACTTTTAGCGTTTTAGTGCTACAGGTAAAGTTGGAGATTATTGTTCAGCTTTTATATTCTAGGTTAGGTTTGTGAAAATATAGATCTGTTGTTTTCAATATGAATAGCACTACTAATATTTCTGCTCATTATAAATATTGTAGTATAGATTCAATAAAGTATCGGACAGTGGTTCATCAGAACCCCAATGAAGGGAACATGGTTCTCGAAACATTAGTTTCTTCGTGTAACCATTTGACGCAGCTGATTATCCGAAAAGATTTTATTTAATTTAGTCGCCGCCGAAGCTTCTAATAATAAACTGTAGTATAGGTTTTAATTAACACGCAAATGATTACTGGCAGATAATAGTTCGTTCATGGTATACTTATCAGATCAGTTTTTGTAGATTAGGTAACACCAAAATTATCTTCATAATCTTGTAATGATTCAATGGTGTAATATTGAAGAATGACAATGCTGTGCAAATGACCCTAGTGCAGGATCAGTAGCATTATGGACACATTTCATTATGACCTTGTGTTAAAGTAAAAGTCAAGGTAAAATTGTTGAACAGTAATATGGATGGGACCTCATAAGTACACAGTGCATAACTGTCAGGTATCTAGAAAGCTTTTATTGTTTACATATTAAGTTTTATGGATGTTATAGGGAATATTGAGAATTGTAGTGTCTATAAATATATCACATTTAATGCACTACATCAATGTATTGTTCACTGTACTTATATACCAACCCTTATGGAGTGTGAGCACTGCATTAGAAAGGGTTAAGAAGTACACAGTCATGTCTGCAACATGCACATTTTTATGAATGTGTGTTTGGTAAGTTATTCACGAATAAATATAGGATATACCAATTTGATGTTTTAAAAAATCTGCAGAAAGGCATTTTATATTTTGAAGCATTTATTACCCAGAGATCATACAGAATGGTACATATAATCTGACAAAGGCTAGTGATTACCCAGCCAGTGAAGGCACTGAAGTGTGGGTAATAAACAGAATGGTGTGGTTGGTTGCATAATATTGCGTTGTGTTGAATAAATAGGTCTGTTTTCACCACATAACCATTTGCTGTATTATTTATTGTCTGTGGACTTCTTTCTTTCCATTACATTTTACTATATTATTTAAGGTAACAAAGAGTGAGTACTTATCAATGGCAGGTGCTGAAACAAACAAAGGAAATAAAAATTAATTTTATATTATAAGGAGACTTAACTTACAGATAGTGGTTTGTGTTTTTTTGACCCATAATCACCATTCATCATGGACTGAACTAATTCACAATTCATATTCATGTTAGTCATAGGATTTTGTGGTCACAGTGATGAACTTTAGGGTTTTGTAACAGCAGAAAAACTATTAACTGTGTATGAAGAACTGTACTGTGCAGTTAGATAATTCCCATCTGAAAAAATATATTTCTACCCACACGAGTTGTGATTCATTTATTTATGTTACTTAGTTTTTTATTGCATGTGTTGGCATTCCTTTCTTACATAATTTTATGGAATTTTGGTGAAACATTTTAATATTTGCTTCTTAAAAAATATGATTACTGTGTAAGGTCCATTGAAACACACATCAGCTGTTCTTGTTTAAAGTGTTACTGGTAAAGGGTTTTGTGCTATGTCCATACAGAGACTGCAGTAACCAGAAACGTTTAGTAGCTTAACCCTTGTATGATTTCCCTTTTCTCTTATTTTTTGTTGCAGGTTCTGGTCTATGTCTGTTGGCTACAGACTTATCAGATGAAACTTTTAATTTAATTCAACTTGATTTTAATAAAATTTTAGCCATTTGTGAAAATGGCTTTTAGCACAGCAGTTCCATTAGTTCAAGGAATGACACACAGGCCAACAATGGAATCAAATATTGAACAGCTTGAGGGAGCAGCAGGCAGTGGGGTGTTGCTAGAGAGGGGTGACATGTGTGTAACATTTGCACCTCAGGCAAAACTCTCTCCAGGGATTCTTGGAGGGAAAATCTCTGAAAAGAGTCTTGAGGCATCTGAAAAACATTCAAGTGGAATCGAAGATGTGGTTTTCTACTTTACAGGTGAGTAATGGCCATTGCATATATTGGTGGTGGTCGAAGCTAATTTGGACGTATATCTTATCGTGCCTCTTCCTTTAATAAATTTTAATATGCTTTTCTTCACAGTTGGTCCTTTGGAGTATATGAAATATATTGAATTTTTCTTCTACTCATTTTATTTACAAGTATATATGATTATCCTTTTTATATCATGATTTTATTCAGTTTTGAACATAAACACATTTTGCTGTTTTTCATTCCTTCAGATTTGACTAAGTCTGTCCTGCTGCTGGCATGTCAGAACATTTCATGAAGTTTGTTTTACTTTGATAAGTTTATTTAATGGTAGGTGGTGCCAAGTCAAAGATGGATGGCGAATTGCTGAAACAGAAGCTGGTGGACGTTGAAGGTGTGGAGGGTGTCAGCATTGCACCTGGCCTGGATGCTGTTACTGTCACATTGAAGGGAATACTCCCAGATGTCCTAAAGTAAGTCGCACATATTACTTTGTGTTAAATTGCAGGGAGAAGGAGAGAGAACATATGATGTCATGTTCCATTACTCACCAACTTTGTTTGATGTTTCTGTCATACCACTTCACCTCAGCATGCCATGTTCTTGTTATAGTTAGCAAAATAACATAACTGCACAAAATCTATAAGTTTTTTGTGTTTCAGAGTGTTTAAGTGGTTAATCACTGAATGAGAAATTTCTTATTGTTATTTATTATAAATCTCTACCAAACCTGAATGAAATATTTTTTCCTGTTTTTTAAAGATGGTAGTCATTGTGGGTGTTCTTCTTCCCCCCTCCCCCCAACTTACAGGTGTTTTAAATCCATGTAAGTGGAAATTTCACCTTGAGATATGTCACTTAATTGCATAATTTCCTTATTTATTGAAACTCCATGCACCTGTCTACAAAATGCATATTCAAAATTTTTGTGGTGTTTGTAATAAAAAATGTTAACCTAAATCAGAGCCTCAAAAATGATGTGACATTTCTGGGTGGCATGACATGTATACCACATTTCATAAAAATCTACCATGTGGTTAGGAGATTATTATGGGGACAGGGACTTGAAAACAGGCATGATACTGTAATCTTTTCTTTTGTTATGAAATATGAAAATTAAGCAAAATAGAAGTATATTTTTGAGTAGGATAATTGAACAAGGACTCCATGCATTGCATAAGGTAACAACAGCTATTTTGTCCACACTGAATTTGTTCCTCGATAGATTCTTCAGAAAAAAGTGTGTAACTGAACATTATAATGTGAATTTTTGTTTGTCTTGGAATGAAGTTTCATTATGTGGTCATAACTATGTACGGCAACACTTACTACCTTTGATGTGGGAGACACTGCTTAAAGGTTTAGGTGTGAGAATGGGCCAAGTCAATGGCTTACTTGTGAGGACAGAAAGGGACAGTTGTGGCAGAAACTGTTGAAAAAGAAGTATCATTTTATAATTTTAGAGGACTTTCAAGTGTTCTGATTGTTCTCAAATGAGGTTCATAGAGAGACCAGGTTTAGGAAATACTGTGGTTGTAATATTTTTGGTTTTCATGGCAGTGAGTCTGAAGATGGCTGTCTTTTGGATTGTTGCGCCACATAGTATGGTAGAAGTTTACTGACGTATTATAGGTCCTTTCTGTCTCCATTGTAAGGCAAGAACCTTGGAAATGTCGGTAAACTTCTACCAGACTACACTACGCAACAGCTCAGAAGAAGCCATATATACTTAACTGAAAAATGTTTCAGACAAAAAGGTATAGAATGTTGTAAGATAAATATTTAATTTCATTTAAAAGATTTTGATCTGAAGAGTTGCTTTGGCAATAACTTGATGCCTGTGGGCAGTAGAAGCATATTTCTGTCTCTCTTCACTGAGAATTATGAAATGACTGTCATTTTAAATTTTTCTGTGATTTTAGCTGTAGCACTTTATATACCACTCACGATTAGAAAAGGGATTTTTGTATGACTCGAGGCTGCTGCCGTAATGCCTAAATTTCAGCTTAATCAGTGTTTGGTTAGATATTATGATGTATACCAGTAGCTGTGCAAAGATGAACTGAATGGTGAAAAATCCAATGAGGATTTTGTAGCAGTGGTTTTCTTTACGTTTCTTCTATTCCTACGTGCTGAGGTCACACAGTGCTTGAAACGTGCTGACTGTGCTGTGCTGTGGTGGCCACTGGAATACAGTCATCACTGATAGTGCCGGCGTGCGTTGCCACACTTTTATTCACAGTCACAGTTCACATCCTTTTTTTTCTTCTGATATTTAAGTTTTCTGGTAACTAAGGGACATGGACATTCTACTGGTTAAGGTTCAAGGTTGGGTATTATCACTGTTAAACGGTTACGTGCTCAGTCAGGCACAATCAGTCTGTTGAATACGTGTTTTGTGTGTTGGTGGTACCTTGATGTATCTGTACATATTCCCACTGTTACCATTTTTTCCTTTCAGACAATATCACTCTATTATCCCTTTTCTTAATCTCTATTCCAAAGGTCATCAAGTTTACTCTGAATTGTGTTATTCAACTGTCAAATTAAAAGGTTCTTAGTTTGGTTAAGTTTGCCGTATAATTGTTTCTTGAGCAGCGACTTGTGTTTCCAAACAATTATATTTATTTGGGGGGAGGAAAAGGAGCTTAGCCAAAAGTGATTTATGATCTGTTTGTATATGTATCAAATTTATGTAATTTTATAAGATATGGATCTCATTTTGGAGCCTCTCATCACTTTTCATTACTTACATAGTGTAATGTTAAGTGTCTGAAAATCACCTTTAAATGCAGTGAAAATTAACTTAATAGTTTCAGAATATGAGACACAGTGAGTTGTGAAATTTCTGAAGTTATGAAATCCTGCAACTCTTACCTCAGTAAGCATGTGTACTACTTGCTAAGCTTCACTCTTGTCTGTTTCCCGCAATGTAACACTTGCAATGCATGGTGACTCCTTTGTATGTCTGTCTGTCTGTATGTATGTACTGTGCCTATTCTTACATGCAAATATTTGTGTCGTATTGATGTGGTGATGACTGCCAGTTGCTCAAGGAGCATTGTGTATCATGGAATGAAATCATTCAGCCTGTCGGTTGTAGTTACGCTTACAAAGTTGATATGTGTGCTACAGGATGTTCAGTGTTAGTTGATGAAATATCAAGTGAGACGTGATGTTTGTAGTTGATGGTAGTAATATCATAGCGCAGGATTCTCAACCTTTTACCTTTGCTTATTGTTGTGTGTGCTGCAAGGTTACAAATTAGAGCAGTTTATTGCAATATCATGTCACTGTATTAAAGTGCTCCAAACTTGCTACTGCAGTCACATATTACTCAGTAATTTTCTTTAATAAAATCAGTCGTTAGTAAGGTATGTGACTGCCTTACCTTCAGTAGTTTTACAATATCAGATTTAATTTTTTTTTGTGATTTACATGCTTCCCTTTAAGCTGCTTTGGCATTTGTCATTAAGCTGTGGTTGCCCACGTGGAAATGTACTGCCAGGTGTTGGCAACATTAACAGATTCTGATATCAGGTTAACTGTTTTTCATTATATAGGGCATTACAGATAATATATGCAGGCCACACAAACCATATTGGTGTCCTGCAGGTTAAGAATTCTCATAGCACTCTCTTGGATACTTTGATAAAATTCACTGTGGTGTTTTTGAATGCATGACAGGAATGGTAGGTAATCACTGTCCATTTTTTAGGTGAAATGCTGGCTGTATAGGCAGTCTGCTGTTATTTGCCACTTCATATTGGGTGCTGGTACAAGTTGTGATTGTCATTTTTTAAACACTAATTACAAACTTAATTTTATTGCCATGGACTGGGAGTGTCTGTGGGGTGGGGGCAGGTATTAGACTTGTCACATGTGACAACTGATAAGTGTTACTTGGAAACGAATAACATGAACCTGTCAAAACTACTGAAATGCTGTATGACCAGTGCTTTGCATTTGTAATTAAGACGGTGTGCTTTAAACATTAACAGACATTTGTTCAGATAATTGTTAGTTTTGGTGCTTGTGCAGTACATTTAGCTTCATTATAATAATCTTGGCATTACACTAACGTTAAAAATTTAAATAATATTTACGAACTGTTAATGTGTAGAATGTTGTGATATTAATATGCATTCATCACAATTTATTGTGTGAATAATTTATTTAGTGATTAAATAGGTTCCAAATAGCATACTACTAACAGAAGAATTAAACTTATTTCGAATTATTGAAATTTTGAGCTGGTTAATTTTACAACAGTACTGATTTATTCATGGCATTTCAAAAGCTATAAGTGCACGAGTTCCATTCCTGGGTGAAGCTTCTTTACTTGAAGGTGTAGTTGGAAGCAGTAGCACTGTGTACATTTTTATAAACGCACGAGAATATGTTTCTCATCTTCTGTTAAGCTAACAATTTTAATCCACTGCCTTAGCTTCATGTAGTACCAAATCCAGAGACAATTGCATAAGATGCAGGCAGCTACAGCTTTGATCTTAGGCCACAGAAGTATTTAATTAATGGAAATCATAAGGTTTTCTGTGTGGTTTGTTGATGCATGTCTTGTTATTTCTGGGTCTTAACAGGTTAGGTAATATAAATGAAAAGTAAGACTACTTCTCAGGTTCCTCCTTTCCTGTGTAGGTGTCTTAGGGAGTTAAGTGACTTGTGACTGAAGTGTTGTGTTCATCAGACATTTAGAGCATCCTGATTAAAAATGAAGTTTGGTTTGAAAATTCGACAGAATAAAAAGTACACCTTGATTCCAGAAGAAGCAGGGTAAGTATACAGATGTTGTCTCTTAATAGTTTTAATTTCTTAGTGCATGATACTTGTAAGTTTCTTTGAAACTTTATTATTTTCAAAATATGTGTTGTGCTATGTACAGAAATGTTTACTTAGCTTCTTGATGTGCTCTCATTATCTGATTATTAGAGATTTCTGTTTGCCCTGCTCACTTAGTGCCACAAAGACAATGATTCATGTTTTGTCGGGTTATTTGAAGTCACTGTATTCAACTGTATTGTTTTGTCCGAGTGTAAGGATAATTGTAAATGGTGAGTTGTGAGTCTGTGAAGTGCTTGAAGGCATTGCTTGGTGTTCACCTGGAAACAGTATATAGTGGTATGTATAAATATGTATGTAAGTAAATGGGTGCATTCCAAGGCAACGCGTGCACTATGACCATTGTGCCTCCCCGTTCTATCAATCCACAAGTAGCCCTTTGCCTACAATGAAGCAGTGTCCTATAGAATGAGATCTCATGATAATATCCTGGTTTCAGGAAATGCCTGCCCAGATGACAAAATTGTGTTTTAGCTGGAGCTTTACAGTCACAAAGGACATGTGAGGCTGTTTCTGTTTCTTGGTAGCACCTTCTGTAAATGGGGTTGTTTACTGTTCCCAATTTGAAGAGGTGTCCTATTACATGACTGTCCTTTTTGTAGCCCTGTTACTTGTCTGAACTTTACCAGCTCAGTGGTACTTTCAGCAGAAGGCTCTTATATGAAGCCTTTTGCATGATTCTGTTCATAAGTGGACTGCCAATGTTTTCAGTGTTTTGTATCAATCCAGTCTATTATAACTTGCCGTGATACTGTCCCAGCGATTCCACAGGTGGGTTCAGGTATGGTAGATGAGTGAAGGGAGCCCATTCTAGCTAATTAGTCTACGTTTTAATTACCGTCAGTCCCCTTATGTCCTGGCACCCACATCAAATGAATTTGTTGTGCTCAGCCAGTATCATCAGGGACTGCTGGCAGACCCAGACCAACTTAGAGTATATTTTACAGTTGTCAAGTGCTTTAATTGCAGCTTGACTGAATAAGAGAGTATAAATGGTCCTATTGCAATAGCCATTTTTAATATTCTCATCAGGACATGCTTTGATAACATTAACTTTGGCCTAAAATACTGTGGTATACTGTCCTAGGCTGAAGCTGATATCTAGCGGAGGTTCTATCTGCGTACTGTGTGAGAACTTCTGAGGTCATGTCTAATCATAGAGTCAAGTTCCACATCATAAAAGATATTGTTAGCTGATAGCAGAACATGAGCAAGTGTAAATTTTCACTTGGCACTCTTCATTGTGTAAGAGTGTTAGTACTTAATGGAAAATTGTTATATTTTTATCAGTAAAATTTAGAACGAGGGAGTAATTAATAAAAGTTAAACATTATGTAATTGTGAATGTGACAGTAACAAATCAAAATTACATTGATGTTGGTCTTCTGGGCTGTAACACTCTGAGGACTTGCAGGTACATACCATTACTTTGGAGAAACATACCTTCTCCATCTCCAGGGCTGAAGTGAGGTTGTTGGGAAGTGGGTGGTATACGTAGGGTCAGAATAAGGACTAGGCTAAGGGGAATTGGCTACCTGGAGTTGAGAAGCTTGGAGCCAGTGGGGAGTCCCACTTGTAGGTAATCGAGAGGGAGATTCCCCATTTACTTCACTCTGGTTGGCCACTTTCCCATATCCTGGTTGTTCTGACCATACATAGTCCTACTTTACTCCTTAAGATGGAGACAGTATGTTTCTCTAAAATACTGGTGTGTACCTCAGCGTTACAACCCATAATACACTGACACTGTCTCTTCTAGAGGAAGCACAGTAACCACATCCATCTACTGCTGGTGTTTAGAACGTACGCTTCACCTCCGTGCCTCGCTTGCACTCTCATAGAAAGGTGCTAAAACAGGCAGGCATAATATGTTTTGATGGTGGATGTACAGATATATAGTAGCATTATGCTAGTATACACCATTCACAGAAATATGTCACTAGTCATTATTAATTTGCAGTTCTTGTTCATTTGATATACTGGGGATACTGGGAACGACCCGTTCTTCAAGTGCCTGAGCACTGCGGGTCCCAACTTTTCATTGGATCGATCTATAGACATTCGGGTAGGACTCCTTAGACGAGGGATTGTTCATTTGATATATACTAATTGACTTCTGATATTAGCACACACTTGCCTGTCGCCTGCTGGTCATGGAGGGAGGGACTGTAACAGCAGCTGTGTGTAACAAAGCAGTAACACCTGACAGATGTTAGTCTACAGGGGGTTCCATAACTCGTGCATGTCTCGAGTTTCCTCTGTATGTAGTAATGCAGGAAACATGCGAATCCCTCAGACCCAGAGGATAGTATTAATAGTTACCAGTGATCATTGTGGTATTGCTGTATTGTTGTGGATCTTTCTTTTGTTTTACTTTAATTTATTGTGAATCGTTAGGAACAAATGTGTCATAAAAGCAGAAAGTTGTGCCCTTAAATGTCTGTATAGGCCAAAGGTGAGCTCAGTA